ATGAATCGACAGCCTCAGCCTGTACATGGCAATATTTCCATTCATTTCATTCCATTCATTTGATCTTGGTGGCTAACAGTATGTAACTTGTTTCGATACTGCTTTGGATTGCTTGTTTGGTAGAAATATTCATTGTTCCATTCTACCCCCATTCCCAGCAAGTCACTATATTATCTATGCCAGATCCGAAAGCTGCTTCATGAAAACTCGGAATTTTGTTCCGCGCGAAAAGCTACTTTTTACCCCAACAGCCTTCTCATGACCTATAAAGCACAGATACGGCACGTTCTAGAATACTGTTCCCGCATATGGGGTTCGACTCTGGTTCAGCACCCATACATGCGCTGATGCTCTTAGATTCCATCTAGAGAAGAGCCATCCGCCTGGTGGGTGATGCCACACTCATTAACTCTTTGACATCGTCATTGGAACACCGTAGAGAGGTCGGCGACCTTTCACTTTTTTATAGATACTTCCACTGGGAATGTTGATATTATTCCATCATTAGCAATACCAGTCAGATGATCTCGACAAGCCCAGTCCGCACATTCTCTCGTTGTCAAGCACGAAATATGTTGAACAGGACTTTATCAAAACTAGTTTGTATATAAAACGGCAGAGCTCTGGAATTCATTGCCCAAGGAAGTATTTGCAAGAACTTATAACCTCCAAAAGTAAAAAAATCCAATATCTACTTATACCTCCTCTTCCTATTCTCCCTAGGCAGGCACGATGTTCTTCGAACATTATATGGATTTCCTTTCGTACGCTCCAAGCGATAAAAAGCCAGGCTCAGTGTCGATCATACCTTTGAAGTGGTTATAAAAAGCCGCCCTAGGTACGGTTCCGCTGAGCAGAGGGTCCCTTGTTTGGTGCACCGATCGTTCGAAAATGGAAGAAGAGGTAGGCGCGGGTGTATATGGACCCGGATGCAGGCTATTTGAAGCCTTAGGTCACTATCTTTCAAGCTGAAATACATGCCATCAACCTTTGCGCCCAAAGGTGCCTGAGCAAAGGTCTGAGGGCTGCCAACAGCCAAGCCGCACTAAAAGCACTAAAATCATTTGTTTTCACATCAAAGATCACATGGGACTGCTTTGAAACACTCATGCAACTGGAAAAGGACAACAAAGTCACACTTATGTGGGTTCCAGGGCATGAAGGAATCAAAGGAAATGAGGCAGCTGATCGCCTGGCAAAAAAATGTGCAGCATCTGCACTTTTTGGTCCTGAGCCTTTTTGTGGGATAAGCAAATGTCACCTGAAGGAAGAACTCAGGAAATGGAAAGAAATTGAAAAGTCTTCCTACTGGAGAGCTACTCCAGGTCAACGACAAGCGAGAAGGTTCATCAACCATTCGCAGAACCGAGCCAAAGAGCTACTCAGCCTCAGCAAACCAAAGCTAAAGCTTATCACATGCTTTCTCACAGGACACGGCCCTCTGAGGTACCACCTCAAAAAGATGGGCCTGGCGGAGACTGGCACTTGCCGCTTTTGTAACAATGCGACCGAAACCGAGGAACACATACTTTGCTCATGTGAAATATTAGTCCGCCAAAGGCTGAACCACCTAGAACAGGTCTATCTCATCCCTGCTGAGGTGGAAAATTCAACCGTCAGGAAAATTCTAGGCTTTATCAGAAGTCTAGGGTTAGAGGACCGAAACTAGATAAGGGTAATCACAATAGATCTTCTAGGTCGCAGTGATCGAGAGGTCTCCCAGCCTATACGACCCATCTACAATCTACAAGCGATAAAAAAGTAACATTCTATACCCTGTTTCTGTCGGATCTCGTTATTTCACTCTGTTCCGGAGATATTAGGGGAGGGGAGTGATAAGTGGCTTCATGAACATGACCCAACATACTTTTCCGGCACAAAAGATACACCAACTTCCAACATAATTCATCCTTTGACTACATCCTCCCTGAGATGAACTCATGAAATAGTTGTTCATCGGAATTCGGAGGGTCGCATACAATATATCATTCTGGAAGTGCTTGCGAAAAATAATGGAAAATTATATTCGGATGGGAGCTCGGATGGGAGTTATTCGAAACAGCCTTGCCACAGCAACTCAAAATGTACTAAAAATCAGCGAAAAAAGTACTAGTTTTACGAGAAAAATAGTAATTTAGATTTTCATTCAACTTCCTACTGAAAAAGGGTGGGAGGAGAGAATAGACAAGGAAAAAAAAATAATGAAAACTTAACTGAATATTGTGAATTTCTCATTCCTCATAGGTCAACACACTTCAAATCAGTCGATTGAGTCAATCGTCATTCTGTCATTCATTTTCATTCATAATCATAACTGAGCAACGTGAAAACAATTGATATATAATCTTTGGTAGAAGTCCATGGTTTCTCAAAGTCGAGTCGAGTATTAAATACTAAATGATACACAAAGTCATCTCCACGACATTTAATGTGATTAACACATCAAGAATTGGTGCATGTTTCGGACATGTATATGTCCATCATCAGCGTTATATTGGAATTACATAATTGTCCTAAAATTAAAATAGTTATAAGTACAATCAACAAGAGTTATGAGAATAAGAACCCCCCGGAAAACTGTCATTCAAATTTGTGGTGGGAACCAACAAATGGCACGACGGATATCACCTGACCTAGGCGGCAAGAACCACGGCATGTGTCACACGTCACAAGTCCATAAGAAAGACAAGTGGCATGAGACAACATGTTAGTGACTGTACACCCAGCGGAGATGTGCCATTGGTGTACTGGAGAAAGGAGATATGATAATGAGGTTATGTTAATAAATCTCAAGAATTCCATTGGAGTTTTCCAAATATCAGTAGTATTTGTATGCATATAAATGACCATATTCAATTTTTGGTGAGAAAAATGATAGCTAACATTGAAGAACAACTGATAAGGAGTCGATAAATTACTCAATTGTATATTGTATTATATCAATTCATAATAGGTGCCATTATAGGCACATATACTATTGTCTCATATTATATATATTATGCCCTGGAACCCTATACCTACTATAGCTTGTACAACTTCTTGATGTGTTGATTACAGTCAACTTCTGGATTTATCTTTGATTGAGATATATATGGTTGACTGTTTATGTTCCCTTGGTTTCCAAGATCTACATTAAACAGCTTCATTTTATGATTTTATTGAAGTATCCCCAAACTGAGAGATACTTAGTAATGGGTTCTGCAAAACCTCATTCATATCTAGTGTTGAAAGATATTCAGTTGCGTTCTTAGATGATTCTTTATTCCGAGGTTTTTGCACTTTTTACTCATCCACTACTCCTGGTACCGAGCCTGGTACAGTGTTTTTTGTTGGACCCAGACTCTTACTTTGCACTCGACTACATTTTTTAATATCTTCCCTATTTTTACTTTCCAGTAATCTCTATCTGTACAATCTTCTGAATACATCTTTGGTTATTCATATTAGAGGTCGATGGTCGAAAGTCAAAATGCAAATGGAAATGATCCTTTTATAGGTTTTTCTTTACAGTTTGATCTATACCACTCTCGGGTACCACTCTATAATTTATTTGCTACGATATCTAATTTCTTAATGAAGCCACCGTTTCCCATTTCTGACTTAGGTAAGGAGGACCATAGAATTAACTCAGAATAGAAAAATTAAGAAGTCGACTCGGAGATACTCAAGGTTGAGTTTTAGGATACCTGGCATTTTAACGATCGCTGTAAACATTATTAGAACATCATAGAAAACGAAACTGGTTGGACTTGAATTGTGATGTCTATATCGTTTAGTATTATAGATACTCGATTTAGTAGCAGTCATCAGCTTTATCAAAATATGCGTATCCAGTTCAATACAAATCTTATAAAATAGGAAATTTCACATAAGTACTTCATAGTTGAGGCGTTTGTTGTCGCACTACTTCCAACTACTAAAATTTTGAATGGCTATATCCTCATTTCTTTTGCATTTCTGGGGGTTCTTATGTGTGATTCTAGATAATTTTCATATTTGTTTTGTCAGAATTGAAGTATATAGGTACTCATCCACAATAATAATGTGTGGAAGGTAGTCATGCAATTTCGAAATTTGAAACTTTTGAACTTTCGTTGAGAAGTATTTATAACGGACAAATGTAGGTACCTACTTCGAAGACTTCATAAATACGTCACAAACTTCGGAAAGTACCGAGGACAGTACCTATTTCAAATACGACATACATATCACGGTAGATCTTGAACTTGATCTAGACTTTGAGTAATTCTTATGAGTCTTATAACCAAAATAAGTATGTACAAAATAAATCAGAAGAATGTCGATGGCCAATTTACTTTTCAATATCTATAGGTTCATTGAGTGTCATTATTCAGTACTAATCATTTATAAAATCATCAATAACTCGTGGTATTGCCAAACCACCAGAGTGATTGGCCCGAGGATTGGCCTTTCAGAATCACACCTACATAATACTACCTACATAATGTATATACATGTATGCGAAACAAACACCGAGATATAGTTCAAGGTGCTCGCTACTCGCAGTAGTATCTTATCATTGGACAGCGAAATGAGGTGCAAACGAACGAAAACAACAGGTGACGCAAAATACTGATTAACTAACCTAAATAATAGTCACATGTATGGATCCGCTAGCGCTAGACCAAACACGCACACGAACCATCGTGCTCCCATCGAACAGACATATTAATTCGACATGCACTCATGAGTCCGGCACCGGCAACACCGCCGGCAGGTCAGCCTCGCGTTAAAGCCCGCCAACGACCGTCGCTGTATCCTCCTAGCGCGTAGAGCTTGCTGCGTGAGACTAACGCGCGGCCACAGCGGGCTCGCCAGCGGCAGATCCAGCAGGCCGTGCCCGGGCCGCTAGTCCCGCGATTGAAGCGCGCACCCGCACGTTCAGCGTTGCCAAGTCTCGAGGATATTTCCGTAGACCCACGGATTTTTGGCATCGTTCCGGATTCGTGCCTACCAATGATTATTCATTCGATATCTACGGTTTCGTTGGATCGGCAGCGCTGGGAGGATGGCAGGCGATAGCGAAACTAGAGAAAGGCATGCAGTGCTGCTTGCGCGAGTAAAGAGCGGGAATTCTTGGCCAGGCCATCGCCATCGTTCAATATTATGAAATCGGTACTACACCTGATGTCAAAACTTACCCTATAAATGTCCTAGAATGTGAACCAATGTATATTGGTACTTTTCATATTTCTTCCACATGAAGGATATATTCACTATGGAGATTGGAGGGTGATTGATTTTTAAATACAAAAAGTATCCTCATATTATTGAACTCATTAAAATTCAGAAAAGTTACCAAGAACATATAAACAAAGACAGATATAGAAGAAGAGACTCAGATAAAGGTACCTGGGTAGTGGGTAGTGGGTATTGTATATATTTATATATTTTTGTACGATCATCCTGTACCTATATGTTTTCATAATGGGAAAATTCTCAGAATAACTAATATTTTCAATATGTATGTTGCACAAAAAATTATCAGCCAGTACAGTAGGTAGGCTAACAAAATCAAGAAAATATTGATACAATCTCGTACACTGTAAGTGTTACAATGCAAGTGTGTAAATGAATGAATATCAAACAGTTTGGAGCAACGACCGAAACTATTTATTTAAGTTGTATCAATGACACTGTGGGATAGGTTCTACAAGAAAAAAGTTGATAAGCAAGTACATACGAGTTACATAAGTAAATAACAATTGAATGGTTTATTTGCTTTCGTTTTCTCACAAAGGATATGATTGATTTTTTCTTCAGAAAATGTTGACATTCAAAGCGATAATACAGTATTGTCACGTTAATACCGTGTGCTGGTTAGCTGACTAATGATGTCTAAAGGGCTTCTATAGTCCTCAGAGTAATATTAATGATAATAACCAGAACATAAAAAAAAGCAATCCATTTCTACTAGCCAAATTTGAAGACCATTCATATATGAACCAATCAAATTGTGATAATTTGCGACCTGATACCATATTTGGTATGAACGAATTTTCAACTGAAAATTTTCAATTATATAGGTACTATACTACTATAAAATGAACTGTATACCTACTCTTGGTAAATTAACTAGCTTGGTTTGATACTATAAAATTGTTGCGTACTAAAACAGTATACCTATATTTTTCATGAGCACCAAGACGGTGTTAAGTGTAAACACTTTGGCATATAGCCTTGACTAGGGTGATAAGCAAATGTTTGTTGTTTCATGATTCTTCAAAACAATATCTCAATCACAAACATATAATTTGTGGTTATTTTAAATTTTGCACCGAATATTCACATGTATATGTATAACATATTCATGACACAATCACCATCCCATGAGCGGAGCAAAAAGAATAATTTATTTTGTAGACTGTGCTGGCTGGAAACAAGGAAAGAGGAATATATTTTAATACGGTTTCATTCAGAAATGGATTTCAAATATTTGAAGAAAATATATAACGTTAGATATTGAGGGATCAAGTTCTTTCTGTGGCTTCTCTCGCCCGTCAATTAAAAACATGTCATAAAAAGTGTCACTTTACCTCCAAATGAAAATAGTAAATATATTTCGGAAATTATACAAGCAACCATTCCGGATTTGATCACATTACAATTAAATATGGTGGACTTCCGGTTTTTCTGGAAAATTTGCAATTTTCAAATCAAATTCTGGAATAAAGTCGATTAATCAATTCTTGTATCCTTTCTTGCAAGAAGATATATCACCGTACCGAAACGAAAATCTACCTTTAAATGCAAAGATATCCTTGAAACCGCATCTGGATTCACTGTCACTTTTCCGAATTTTTCATCATTTCCATTTATATCCTGCTCAGCATAAAATCCGTTCTGTGCCTTATTCCTTTTATAACAAATAAATCTTCAGGATATAACTTCGAACGACTTATTCAAATAAAACGTCTTCGAGCTTGAAAGGTACCTTGGTATAATATGGAATGGATGCCGAGATTTTTCATAGATACACAGGGTGAATGATATCGAACTTGTTAGTAATTGAGCAACGATAAGATGATAGAACATATTCCATACTTCAAATGGAGAATGTGAAATCTCGTTATACAGTGTGACCCACTTCTAATGGAACCACCCCTGTATCTTACGTAATCGTTGGGTAAGGAACTTGAAATTTGCTGGAGCGAGAGATATACCAAAAATGCACTCTATGCACTGCTCGCCAACAGCCATAAAACTAGCCCAATTTCCGGAAAATGATATTAGGAGTCAAAATAGGTCGAAAATCACTTCAGATTTGGAATCAGGACGCCCAATTTACTAACTATTCAAATTTTTCCTGGAAAATTTTCAGTTCGGAAAAATGAAATTTTGTCGCATTTTTTATGGAAGCACCCCCGTATCTCACGTAATTATTGAAGTAGGGTTCTGAAATTTGCCGGAGGAAGAGAAAGTCCAAAGATAAAGTCAATTACGTGAGATACGGGGGTGCTTCCATAAAAAATGCGACAAAATTTCATTTTTCCGAACTGAAAATTTTCTAGGAAAAATTTGAATAGTTAGTAAATTGGGCGTCCTGATTCCAAATCTGAAGTGATGTTCGACCTATTTTGACTCCTAATATCATTTTCCCACTTGGTCATAGAGTGCATTTTTGGTATATCTCTCGCTCCAGCAAATTTCAGGATCCTTACCCAACGATTACGTAAGATACAGGGGTGGTTCCATTAGAAGTGGGTCACACTGTATATACTGATACGATATACCAGAAATTCGGCTCCCAGGAGAGTATGCCGAATTTTTCTTTCTACATCTGTGTACATATGGCACCAATAATCTTATGAAACCCCTGACTGATACCAGTATAGTTAGAAAGACAGGAGAAATTTCTTCATCTCTCTGTGCTGGCTCTTTCTATCCACCCCCTCATTCCAAGTAAGAACATCAGATTATGAAATCCAGTTCCACGCAGAAAGAATAAGATCTTCGCTCACGAAAAATGACACGACTTCTTCCAGGAATGGTTTCATTAGGTATTTCATAACCTAAAAGGCTTCGTCCTCAATGTCGTTTTGTTCTCATCACCTTTCCGTTGTACTTCGACTTGATAAAGTTAATAGAAGCGTTGAACAAACATAGTTTCGTGAAATTACTTCATTTCATGATATTGCAATTTCTCGGTAGGTATAATAACTATGGACGCAATGTTCAAATCTGGAGACTGTCATCTCTTGCATTCATACGAGATATCTCTGCTCATCTCCATCAAACATCTAATACGTTGTCGTAGAGAATGAAGTCAACGTTGTGGAAATATTGAGGAAATGTTGTATTTGTGTAATCTTATACAGGCACACTTCATCTTACAAATAATATAGTTGGAAGTAGGTATTTACACAAGAATGTATTGAGATAAGTCACTCTGATAAATGTCAGTGATATACACTGCTCGCCAGTATATAGTAATGAAATTATAATATTACGTAATAATGACGGTAGAATTTTGATATTACCATTAGCAAGGAAGATACGAATGATACGCTCAATGATTAAGTTTAGAGTAATGTTCAGTAGCCATGGAATAACCGACGTTGGTGGGAAGCAGTGTACACCATAGACAAACCAAAAATAAAGAGACTGTTCAAAACATTGGAAATATTGACCATCAAGTTTGTGCGCAACCCAGTCGCGCATGGAGGCGCTGTTCGCAATCGACAAACGAGTCATGACATGAAACATTTTGAATTTCGACATTAGACAGCACGACAGTATAAGGCCTGTTTGTATGTGTTTGCTCTACTGGTTAAACTTAATTTTTTTTCTATGACTTTCTCTGTTTATATCATGCTATGAACAGAGACGACTATGGAAAAACATCAACTTTAGCAAGTTCCATTTTAGAACGAAGGAACAGACCAATGGAATACAACAGATATTGTTTATTTTCCGAGTTGATGTTGATACTGAAATTCGAGTTTCTCTTTCACATTTATTTTACTTTATTTCCAAGTTTATTTCTATTATTGACAAGGTGAAATTGATAATATTCATGTAGGTTGCACGTAGGTACATTTTTATAGAAACATAAGTGATATTCTTTCATTCTGAACTAACCGAAATATGAACGGAACTGAATTAAACATACATTTTATCGAATTGAAGTAGGTATTCTTGAAGAACGCATGTTAACTAATTTCAGTTTTATGTTTGTTTTATGTAATATTTCAGTATTTCAGATTAAAAGAATATCACAGATGTAAAAGTGTGGTGTGTGGTGGGATGTCAAGACCCCGTGCATATTCAAGTGTGCAAGCAAGTGTTGAATAAGTGGATGATACCTAAAAATGCCCAACAAAAATTGTGAAGAAGATGTGACTACCAAATTGGATAATCTCAACTCATTTTTAACTTGCCCAGTGGAGCCAGAGCCATCATCAGTTCTTGTCAATGAGTTGAATGAATTGGTTATTCCAAATTTCGATATTGTGTTTTTTAACTCAGAATTTGACACCCAGGCAACATATGTTCATCATTTTTGTTTGTTTCCTTTTTGTATGATGTCTAGTCATTATTAGGCTGAAGAGTTTATATCTTATTTTGTTTTTTTTTTCAGAGTTTTATTTACTTATTGTTTCATGATATGTAGTTCTCTAGTCTTGGATGGAATAAAATATATTTTTTTAAGTTTTTTAATTTTTTTTTGTAATTTTCTCGATTAATACAAATTTTGAAAGTAAAGGTTTGAAATAAACCGCCTTATCTCAATCGGTAACTAGAGAATCTGTTTTATCGATCATAGTAACTAGTTCCACCCAGTTGCCAAGTGTGTCGCTCTAAACGTGGTGCCAACTTTTACTGCAGGTTTGACAACTCTCTTTTTATTCGTTTCTCTATGGTCACAGCCGTCTTCAGAAGACGGCTGTGCTATGGTGTACACTGACGATTTTTTTTTCACATGTCATAATCCGACAAAAGGGCACAAATAATTCAGGAGAAAGAATGTAATTTAAATGGGTCAATAAACACAATCACATCAAAATGTGCAGTATACAGGAAACAGAAGAGAAGAATACATGATTGATGAATCGCCGTGAAAAGAATATAATTTGCAAAATGACTGAAGGAGAA